CTCAGATCTATTGAGTTCTAACTACCAAGTGACAAGGCCAGGTTGCTACCCTGACTTCCGGTGTCTTTGCCTTCCCCAACACTGGCCTTAACACTGGCTGTCACCCTGGGAGGCTGTCTCTCTGGGCCTTTCCAGGTTTTGCTGTCCTCAGCTACTGAGGCCTGGGCATGCCTCTGTCCCAACTCCACCTTTTTCTGTGGTCACAGTTCCAGGCCCTACCTCTTAAACAAGGTCCTGAGACTTGGGCTCCTAGAGTCAGCACATTAAAGGAAGTCCCTATCTCCCTTAGACCTGTGCCTCCAGCTACTCCTGTTGTTATGGCCTTGTAGCCTAGCTTCGGGAAGATTGTGACTCCCCATGCCCTCCACTGAGCCTTTTTTAAAAAATTTTATGTGTATGCGTGTATTGCCTGCATGTAGTTAAGTGCACCCGTGTTGTGCAATGCCCACGGAGATCAGAAGAGGCTGTCGGATCCCCTAGGACTGGAGTTATGGACAGTTGTTAGCTGCCATGTGGGTGCTGGGATTCAAACCCGGGTCTTATGCAAGAACCACTGGTGTTCTTAACTGCTGAACCATCTCTCCAGCCCCCGCTCTCTGAGCCTTCTATCATCCACCTGATCCTCTCACCTGTCCGCTGCCACCCCTTGTAGCAAGGAGGTGTCCTCCAGGAACTCCCTCTGCTCCTCCTTAGGTGACACTCCACCAGTGTTCCTGACCTGCCTGCCTTAAAGAGTGACCCCAGCAAGCTTCCCACTGCCACCTGCCTCCACCTGCCATCCTGTCCAATCCCTGTCAATCTCAGCAGACAGGTTGCCAAGTCAGCATTCATGGTTGGCCTCATTTTACTCCCCAGGGAATCCAATAACCACTTCTTCCTCCTCAAAATTCTTTGTCATCTGGCACCATGGCAGAAACTGGAGATTGGTATTAACCCACTCTGCAGTAAACACAACCATGAATGTCTTTATGAAGCCACGTGCCCAGATGGAGGACATTTCCCAGCCTGTGCAGTTAAGGGTCAAAAGGTAAATTTGGGTTAATAAAACATCTGTGGAAAGTGCTGAAAGTGGTTCTGGGAAGTCCTGACAATCCTTCTCCATCCCCATCCCATCAGCTGCCAGGACTGTGAATATGATGTTTGGGACTCCAGCTAGCTTTTGTTTTGTGACAGGCTCTCGCTATGTAGTTCTGGCTGTCCTGGAACTTGCTATGTAGACCAGGCCAGGCTGACCTTGAATTTACAGAGATCTGCCTGCCTCTGCCTCCCATGTGCTGGGATTATAGACTTGCATCACAATGCCCAGCTCCAGTAACTTCTTTTTGAGACAGGGCCTCCCTATAGTCCCAGCTGGCCTGAAACTTGCTATGTAGAGCAGAATGGCCTCAAACTCACAGACATGCTCCTGCCTTTGCCTCCTGAGTGCTGACAGATTAAAGGTGTGCTCCACCAAGCTCCAACAGCTATCTTTTAAAAATACTTTAGACCAGACTGTGTCCCATGTACCCCAGGCTGGCGTTGAACTCCCAATTCTTCTACTGCCACCTCCAAAGTGGTGGGATTAGAGATGTGCACCACCAAATCCAGATTTTATGGTGCTGAAGATGGAACCCAGGGTTTTGTGCTAGGCCAGTGCTCTACCAACTGGTACATCCCCAGCCCCATAGCTATCTTTCAAAAAAAAATTTTTTTTTAATGTATATGAGCATATTACCTGCATCTAAGCGCACCCATATCATGCAATGCCCGTGGAAGTCAGAAGAGGGGGAACTGGAAGTATGGGATGGTTGTTAGCCACCATGTGTGTGCTGAGAATCGAACCCCGGTCCTCTACAAGAGCAGCAGGTGCTCTTAACCACTGTGCCATCTCTCCAGCCTTACTTTTTCATTTTTGAAGCAGAGTCTCAAGGACTCCAAACTAACCCCAGCACTGCAAGCACTTTCAACTGAGCTACATCTCAAGCCCTCCTCTTTGGAGTTTACATTTTTTGTTTTGTGACAGGGTCTCCTCTATCTCAAGCTGGCTTCAGATTCAACAGTAGCTGAGGCTGACTTTGAACTCTTGATCCTCTTGCTTCCACTTCCCAAATGCTGAGATTACAGGCATGACTCTTCAGGTTTTTTTTTTTTTTTTTTTTTTTTTTTTTTTCTATTTTCAGTCTTACTATGTCGCCCTGGCTGGCCTGGGCACTCTCAAGATTTAAAAAAATTTAATAATTACATTTACTTATTTGGGGGGAGGTGCATGCATATGCCATGGTCAGAGGACAACTTGTGGGAGTTGGTTCTCTCTTTCCACCATATGGGTTCTAGGGCTTGAACTCAGGTCACAAGGCTTGACAGCAAGAGCTCGGCCACCCCTGCCTCTTCATATTTAAAAAAAAATCTTAGGGCCTTGTGTGGTGATACATACCTTCAATTCCAGCACTCTGGTGGCAGAGGCAGGCAGATCTGAGTTCAAGGCCAGCCTGGTCGACATAGTGACTTCCAGGTCAACTGGGGCTACAGGGAGACGGGCTCGAAAAGATCTGTAAAAAAGTGTTTGTGTAAGTCTATACAGGTGCACAATGAATGTGTGTGGAGGCCAAGGGAACACTGCATATCCTCTCTGATTTTCCACCATATTCGAGATAGGGTCTCTCTTTTCTGGCTAGGCTGCTAGCCAGGAACCCCAGTAATCCTCCTGTCTCCACTCCCCCCTCCCCAATCCTCCTAGTGCTGTGGTTACAGGGTCATGTGGCCATGCCTGGCTTTTTACTGGTGCTGGGTGCCAAACTTAGGTCCTCATGCTTGCTCAGCAACCATTACCAACTAAGCCATCTCTCACATTTTTTTTTTTTTTTTGGTGTGCGTGTGTATGAGGAAACCTGTGGGAGTCAGTTCTTTCTTCTACTATATGGGTCTCAGGGATTGAACTCAGGTCATCACGCTTTAGCAGCAAATGCCTTTACTTGCTGATCCACCTCACTGGCTCCCTCTTCATGTTTTTGTTTTTTGGTCTTTTTGAGATAGGGTCTCCCTGTAGCCCCAGTTGGCTTGAACTCACTATGTAGACCAGTCTGGCCTTGAACTCACAGAGATCTGCTTGCCTCTGCCTCCTGAGTGCTGGGGTTAAAGGTGTTGCTTTTGACCAACTGGGCTTGCTTAGCCTAACCAATAGGACTTTTTTTTTTTTTTTTTTTTTGACAGATCTTGTCTAGTCCTAGCTGGCCTGGTGCAATGTAGACCAGGCTGACATTGAACTTGAAAGATACACCTGCCTCTGCCTTAAGAATACCAAGACCTGACTAAAATTTTTGTTTTTGAGATAGGGTCTCCCTGTAGCCCCAGCTGGCCTAGAACTTGCTATATAGACCAGGCTGGCCTCGAACTTGGAGAGATCTGTCTGCCTCTGCCTCCTGCATGCTGGGACTTAAAGTGTGCAGTGCACCACCACACCTGGCTTTTAAGTTTATTTTTAAAACACTTAAAATGTGCTGGGCGTGGTGGCGCACGCCTTTAATCCCTGAGAACTTGGGAGGTAGAGGCAGATGGATCTCTGTGAGTTCAAGGCCAGCCTGGTCTACATAGTGAGTTCCAGGCCAGCTGGGGCTACAGGGAGACCCTGTCTCAAAAAGAATGCCCCCCCCCCAAAACACTTAAAATGTTATTTATGCATGTATGTACATTGTGTGTGGCACAGACGTGCAGATCAGTGGACAACTTTCGGGTGTCGGCTCTCTTCTACAATGTGGATTCTAGGGATTGAACTCAGGTCATTGGACTTGGTGGCAAGCACTTACCAGCTAAGTTGTCATGTGGAAACTGAACCTGGGTCCCCTGTGAGAGCAGCCAGTGCTCTTAATCACCAAGCAAGCTCTCTACCCCATCACTGTGTGGGTTTGTACCCATGAGTCGGTTCATGAAGGCCAGAAGAGGGTGTCATATCCCTCTGAAGGTGGAGTTACAGGCTGGAACAAATCCTGCGAACAGAACTCTTCTGCAAGAACAGTACCCATTCTTAACCCCCAGGCCATTGCTCCAGCCCCTGAACATTTTTTTCCCAGTCTTTTTGTGACAGGGTCTTCCTGTAGCCCCAGCTGTCCTGGAACTCACTATGTAGACCAGGCTGGCCTTGAACTCACAGAGATCCACCTGCCTCTGCCTCCCAAGTGCTGGGATTAAAGGTCTGCACCACCATGCCTGGCTCCCTGAATATTTTTTTAAAACTCTTATTTTCTTCAATTCAGTGTTTGATCAATTAGCACTGGAAAGTTGCGCTATATAGCTTTCAGTCTTTTTTCTTTGTAACAAACAAAAGCCAGAAACATAACACAAATACATGTGGTTTCTAGGGTACACACACACTGCTGCTGGCAGGCAGGTGGTCTAGAGCCTTGGTAAAATGGCACAGTAAGGACCCTGCACACATGAAGCTATGGGAGGACCACTGCCCAGGATGAGCTCACCGGGGAGGAACGGGATCAGGGTTCTTGGGAAGAATGCCAAGAAAGAGGCAGCTACCTACAGAGACCTGTATTCCCAGTTGTGAGGCCCTGGAAACTCTCTCAGCTTTCAGGCAGTTTTAACACCAGATGCATTCTGGGTACAACAGACACCCCTTCTTTTCCTCAGTGCAGTGCAATGGGAAAACATTGGCAGGCCATGGGTTTGGTTGGCTGATCACATGGTGACACAGGAAGAGGCCTTTCCAATTTAGTATTTAAAGACACAACAACGAGCTCACCGGGGAGGAACGGGATCAGGGTTCTTGGGAAGAATGCCAAGAGAAAGACAGCTACCTACAGAGACCTGTATTCCCAGTTGTGAGGCCCCCTGGACTCTCTCAGCTTTCAGGCAGTTTTAACACCAGATGCATTCTGGGTACAACAGACACCCCTTCTTTTCCTCAGTGCAGTGCAATGGGAAAACATTGGCAGGCCATGGGTTTGGTTGGCTGATCACATGGTGACACAGGAAGAGGCCTTTCCAATTTAGTATTTAAAGACACAACAACCAGGCAAGTGCTGCAGTTATTTTTAGTTAAAAGAAAAACAGCCTTTTCCAAGGGCAACAAAGTGAACTGAAGGTCAGAGGAAGCTGGGTGTGAGCTTCTCACAAGCTAGTGCTCCAAAGCCTGGGAATGAGGCTGGAGGCTTCCAGGGAACCAACTGCAGCAACAGAGGGACTCCAGTGAGGAGGAGGGCTGCCAACCTACCCCTGATCACTGGAATGGTCGACATGGGCTCTCAGATGACCTTCAGCACCAACTGACATGATTAACCCTAATATTCTTGGGGGCATTAAATTAAGGAATGACACAAGGATCCAAGACAGTGGCTCATTCAGTTGGATTCTGAATCACAATCAGGAAATAGTCTTTATCTGAAAGAGAGAAAAACAGAAAAATGTAAAATAACAGCAACTCCTTAGTCATTTAAGCTGTCAGAAGCATCACTGCTCAGGCCACTCTCACAGCTGCAGACAAGATAACCTCTGCCTTTCTTGTGTGGCTCCTACCAATAGCTGCTGGGAAGTGGAGTCTCTCCATACAGGGCAGTGGGCACTCCACACACCTGACTTTTGAATTTTTATTAAGATTTCAGGGCTGGCCAGATGGCTCAGTTAGTAAAGGTACCTGCTGCCAAGCATGATGACCTGAGTTTAATCCCTAAGACCCACGTGGTAGAAGGAGCACCAGCTCCCAAGGGCTGTTCTCTGACTTCCACATGGACACTGTAGCACACAAGTGCCCACACACAGAGAAAAAATGCAAATAGGATTTCAAAAATATGCTAGACACTTTAGTTTGTCTAATAAGCCTAATAAGCCTGTTGACTGGCTTGTTGCTGGTCTCTACCGTCTACAAAATGGGTGGCCTTCTTCAGTTCTCCTCATGGAGAGGACACCCTGAAAGGTCACAGGAAATTATGTGCTTGTTTGGAGCATTTTCCAATGCTGTAGTCTCTGAGTCAGGTTCTCCACAGAGGTGCTGGGCCTCATTTATTAAGAAACAGGGCAAAGTGCTATCTGTCAAGGCTATTCATTTGTTGATTCTGTTACAATCATGCTTGAAGATCAGCTCATTTATTTTCTGTGTTACTAGAGGTAGAACCCAGGGCTTTGGACATGCTAGGCAAGTGCACTAAAGTTATTCCCCTGACCCTCAAGTTCATTTATGGACTTTAGGTCCAGGTACTCCATGCAGCACATCATGTCAAATGAAGCCTTGCTGAGCTTAATAAAGGTGCCTCAGGAGACGTGGTGAGGGTAAAGAAGAAACAACATAGTTTGGTCCTGTGGGCTTGTGCCTTGGATGCCCCTGATCTTGGGGCAAAGGACATAGGTTCTGCAGGTATATGTAAGTTGCCACTCAAATCTCAGTTCTATACATCTGTAGGTATCTGCTTGACTTCCAAAGCATCTTCAGGGCAAACTTCTCAGGCAGGATACCTTTAGCTCCATAAAATCCCTTCCCTTTCCTTATCTGACATAGCAGCAGCCTGCTTTCCCTTCTCTGTTTGATCCTCCCACAACAGCAGCAGGTGGGCACGGATTGCCTTCTGGTTTTCAGGAATGACAGGTTCAGAGGGCTTTTAAACTAGATCATCCACCTAGGGAGCTGCTGGCCCACCCAAAGCAGCTGACGGAAGGATATGGCCAGAGCCAGAGAATCTGCCTTTCTTTTTGGTCTTTTTGAGACAGGGTCTCCCTGTAGCCCCAGCTGACCTAGAACTCACTATGTAGACCAGGCTGGCCTTGAACTCAGAGATCCACCTGCCTCTGCCTCCAGATTGCTGGGATTAAACACATGCGCCACCACACCCAGCTAAGAATCTGCCTTTCTAAAGTTCCTAGGGACATTGTAGGTTCTGGGAGAGCCACTAGCTGATAGTTTAAGGTGAGTCAGCTGTTAATGACAAATACAGAATTCGAACTTCAACCTCATTGGACTTGAGTTAGTTTCTACCACAGGTTTGGATGTCGGCTTTCCTGAGCTTGAAAAGAAAAGTGCAAAGGCACGTGGGGCAAAGCTGTCTGGTTCGAGTTCATTTCTGCCCACTTACTAATCAGGCTGAAAACATTTACCAAGGATTCCATGCACCTGTGTCAACCCTTCTCTTGTGGCATCTGAACAACCCCAGAGTCACTCTAGGCAGTGCTAATGCGCCCCTATTTTACTAATAAGCCCACAACATCTGACTGTTTTAAGTAACAAGAAACACAAGTGACTAAGTTTCCTGGCTAAGCAATTTGCACACATGAAGAACAAACTGGGTGGGATGGCTAGGGGAAGGGGCACACTCAGGAGGCAGGGGCAGGTAGATCTCTTTTTGACGCCAGCCTGGTTTATGCAGCAAATTTCATGCCAGCTAGAACTGCACAGTGAGACCCTATCTCAAAAAAAAAAAAAAAAAAAAAAAAAAGATTTTACAAGCCAGAGCTGGAGAGATGCCTCAGGGGTTAAGAGTGAACACTGCTCTTCCAGAGGACCTCAGTTTCTCATGTTGGGTAGCTCATAATCACCTGTAACTCCACATCCAAGGGATCTGATGCTCCCTTCTGGCCTCTTTGGGCACCTGCACTCACGTGCACATCCCTACAAATAGACATACACATTACTAAAAAAAAAAAAAAACTTAAGTTTTTTTATTTTTATGTGTGTTATGCCTGCATGTGTGTAAGTGCCATGCAATGGACGCAAAGGGCAGAAGAGGGCATCAGAGCCCCTGGAACTGGAGCTGGATGGTTGTTAGCTGCCATGTGGGTGCTGGGATTTGAACCTGGTTCTTTGTAAGAACAGCTGGTGCTCTGAACCACTAAGCCATTTCTCTAGCCCCATAACTATCTTAAAAAAAAAAAAACAAAAAAAACCAAGCCAATAAAAACAAACACAATCAACAAAACTAGTAGCTTTTTTTATTCCAACCTATCAAGTTCTAAATCCTGTAATACCCTATCAAGTACTCTGTAGTGTTTATTTTTTATTTTACATCTTAAAATTTATTGTGTATGGGTTGGAGAGATGGCTCAGCGGTTAAAAACACTGGCTGTTCTTGCAGAAGACCTGGCTTTGAATCCCAGCACCCACATGGCAGCTAACAACTGTCCGTAACTCCAGTTCCAGGGGATCCAACGGCCTCTTCTGTCCCTCCACAGGCATTGCATGACATAGGTGCACTTACCTATGTGTAGGCAATACACGCATACACATAAAAATAAAAATTTATTGTGTATGTATATGGGTGTATGATACAGCATGCATGTGGAAATCATAGGACAACTTGTGGGACTCAGTTCTTCTTCCATCATGTGGATCCTACTAATCAAACTCAGGTGGTCAGGCTTGGTGGCAAGCACCTTTACTAGCTGAGCCAAGCGGCCAGCCAGGGAAGTAATGTTTTAAAGGTTATTTGTGCTGAATCAAACATTAATAAATGAAACCATATTTGTCTTCAAACATCTGGTGCTAGCTGGGTGTGGTGGCTACACCTTTAACCCAAGCACTGGGGAGGCAGAGGCAGATGGAACTCTGTGAGATTAAGATTGAGGCCATCTTGGTCTCCATAGTGAGTTCCAGGCTTTCTGTGGCTACAGGGAGATCCTGTCTCAAAAAATAAAACAAAAAACCCAAAACCAACCAACCAAAAAGTCTTGCACAGGCTATTTAGTGCCAAAAGGGGATAAAATCTGGTAAAATATGAAGATCCAAATTTCTGAAACCATCTCTTATTGGCCTGGAAAGCTTGGCCAATTATGTGAGTAGGAAGAGACTGTAGATCTCCTTTCAGGCAGGGCCACTCCTGACTGCCCATACTGCATGGCTCTCTTCCAACTTACAACTAGGCCTAATCCACACTGGAGCTTCCCCCGGGGGCTTATGCTTAATCCCCAGGCAATCAAACCCTCATGTCCCTGAGTTCTGTCGGTGGCTCCTGCCCACAGAGGTTTTGGCACCTATTTTTGTATTGGTCACATTGAATTGGTTATGCCAAAATGTTTTCATCTTTAAATGCCATGCCCTAAACTTGACCCTACCCCTCTACTGAAAACCCTGGCCCACAGCACAGGGTGTCTACAATGAAGGGAGGTTAAGAAAGTTATATGGGGCTGGAGAGATGGCTCAGCGGTTAAGGGCATTGGCTGCTCTTGCAGAAGACACAGCACCCACAAGGTAATTAACAACCATTTGTCAATTCCAGTTCCAGGGCATCCAATGCCCTTTTTCTGACCTTTGTAGGCTTTGCACGACTTGGATGCACTTACATACATACAGGCAAAACACTCATACACATAAAATAACAAAATAAAAGAAAAAAAGAAAAGAAAGTCATCTGTTCACTATCTGATGTATCTGTTTAACACCGTGCTTAGAAGTCTCTGTACTCACTGAACTTACTGTCTAGAGGAGAAAACAGTGGAAATGTGGACAAAAGGCTGGCCAGTCAACAAGGATGGTACGTGCCAGCAGCAGGGTGATGTAAGAGAAGGGCCCAGGAAGGGCTGAAGGCTCCAAGGAGCAGCAGTGTGGCTGCTGCAGCATGGCAACCCCAAGAAACACTACTGTGTTTATGGCCACCTCAACACGTCACCCAGCTTCCAGCAAAGCCAACAGTGTGTGTCAGAGAATGAAGGAGAGGGAGAATGAAGGAGAGGGTGATGGCATATGCATTCTTGGCAGGCCTCCCCCATGCTGCTCAGGTAAGAGTCTGCCCACTTTATCTTCATCTCCACTGATGAGACCATGGAGCCACTGGGCCTGTGACTTCAATGAGAACTTCTAACTTGGGAGTTGCCTTGTCCAGATTCAAGCACCAACTATCCTCAAGGGCTCTCAAGGCCAAGTTGGAGATGCAGTTGCACTGAGATGAGACTTGAATGGCCAGGACTTTAGACATCTCTGCCCTTCCTAAAGCTTTAGGTAGAGAGACACTGTTCAGTGAGTTTGTCTCTGTGGGACCCCATTATCTGCCCTTGCTTTGTACTGAGCTCCCAGGTCTGCTCTGACGTACAGTTAATGGAAGGATGATTCCCAATCCTCTCTGGGGTGTGGGGGGAGTTTCTATTCAAATTTGATTCCAAGGCATCGCCTAATCTGATTTTACAGATTCTTCCAGATGGGGTACCCCAGAGGATCACAACAGCACAGTCCCTACCTGATGTGGTTATCGACATGTTCTGTGATTCACACAAGGTCAAGTTATAAGAGGCAAAGCTGGAGAAACAGATTCCATGCCTCCACCAGTCTTTTCTCCCCTGACAGAATCAAGCATCAGTTGACAGGTGCTGTATTATGCATGTATGGCCTGTTTCTGGAATAAATGCGCTGGAATTATCCTATGTTCAATGACTGATTCTAAGGTTCTCCTTCCATCTTTCTAAGCAGGTGGAATGGGTTGAAAAAGGAACAGACCTGGGAAAAGAAGTAACACTCATCTGCTGCTGGGAATGGTTGAACCCCATTCCCCTACACAAACATCACCTCCTACCCCTCAGCACCTGCTCACAGATCAGAGCCACACAGCCTAGTACAGTGTCTGGGGTCCCTTCTAAGTTGCACCTAAGTCTCACTTTTCATACCTCCCTATACAGACAAGCTGTTTTGCAACCTGAATGCACCAACATGTGAGAACCCATGCACAGTCAGTTATGGCTTAACCAAAAGACAGGGTGAGAGAGAGGTAACCATGCCAAACTAGTCCTGGGGAACCTATCTGCCACTCATCTGGGAGTGAGGTGAGGAAGGGCATGGAGGTGGCCCTATGGCTCCCTGCTGTGGGCTGTTCTTGTGCCTTCTCCCAGGGTGAGCATCTCATCACCCTGACAGTGACCTTAAAGCCTAAACACAGAATTGCTTATAGCAAGCATTTCACTGACAAATCAAAATAGCAATCTTCTTCAGTGCTGGTGGGGAAGCTGGCTGCATATATCAGATAGGATTGTTACGTTTTGGCTTTGAATACCAAATCCTTTTTCACCTAAAAATAGCTCCCCCACCCCTTTGCCTCAATCATACTTTCCTGACCCTCAATTCAGCTCCAACATTCCTGCTTCTGGGAAGCTTTTGCTGATGGCCCAGGCAGACCTGATCACCTCTTCCATATCCCAAATTCTCCTGGAATTCTTACCAAGCTAAGGGTGATCAATGTTATGCTTGTGTGTCTTTCTCCCTCATGAAATCACAATTCTTCTGTTAGGCCTGCTGAGGATCTGTTGGGGGACATTCTCTGAGGCACACCAGCTGGATGCTGACTAGGAAGTGAAGCAACCCCACTCCTATCACCCAGGTCCTCCTTGGAGCTGTGGGACACCTTCCTGATAAGCCACTGAGAATCTGCTGGGGGGAGGAGGGTTGGGGGTCCTGTCAATAAGTGGAGAGGTATAAGAACCCTTACCTGGTGCAACCATAATTTCATTTTTCTTGGAACGAATTCGGAGGAAGGTCAGGTCATTCTGTGGGTCAATTTCACGCACAGTGCTCCGTGCCTTCAAGATGAAGTTGTGCATGAGGTTGGCATACTGTGTGGTAGTAGGATTGTCCATGGTGCTTTTGATGGGAATACCTGTGGGGGGAACAGATGGAAACTACGCAGTTCATGGGAGCCCCTTTCTGCTGAGCTCCTCATCCCACACCACCAATTCTAGAATACTGGGCTGGCAGTTAACAGTCATTGCCACTATTTGCAGAAGGCTTGCTATGTGACAGGCACAATGTTGGGAACTTAAGAGGGCCGGTGCAGGCCCAGAACCCTTAGTGGGTGGCACTGCCATGTTCATTTGCCTCCCAGGCAAACAGGAGTCCCGACTGATGGGGTGCTCATCATCATTTATGGCACACAACGGATGAGGATTTAGATGTAGGACTATGGGATCCACTCAAGACTCCTTTCTCAGGGCCATACTGCCTGACTGGGTTCTGATAATAAAAGAGAGATGCTCCTTTGTAACACTTAAGAGCCTGAACCAGGAGGGCAGCTCTTACAAGTATGTAGAATGAAAAGGATGAAGAAATAAAAGGCCTAACCCATTACTGTTCTTACCCAAGGTTGGCTCAAGGCCCAGCAATAAGCATGTGTACACATGATGGTGCCCTGCCCTCCTAGAATATTTCTAGTTTACGCACACCCTTTGTAAGCAGCACTGCTTTCTCTTTCAAAAAGCCAACTAAGGGACTGGAAGTATAGCTCAGTGCTAGGTATGTACTTGGTGTGTCTGAGACCCTCGGTCCAATACCTAGCACAGCACAGCAAAACATTAACAAGAGCCCAGGACGTGGACATTCCACAAATTCAACATTCCTCTACTGCTGAATAGTTAGGCCAGGATTTTACTAGTATAATTAACTGGGCAATGAGCATCAAGTCTCTTTTTTTGAGGATTGAACAATTAAATGGACACCACCTCCTGAGTGCCTACTGTCATGGAGATGAGGAATGTGGCTCAACTTGAGCAACCTCAAGACACAAGTGGGTCATTAGGTGCCTGTGAATTGGCTGACCTGTCCTGTCAGAAGGCTCCATCCACGAGAAGCCTGACATTTCTGAAGAATGTAGTACAAGTGACTCCTCACATCCATGCAGCCAGGACCCTGCTGATCTCAGTCTAAGTGACCAGTCCAGAGATTAGCCGAAAGCAGCCATCCAACTTTGTCTTAGGGCACTAGGAACAGAAGTGTGGGCAGAAGGGTATACAATGGCAAAACAAGCAGTTGAGCCAGAGGGGCTCGTGAGCCAACTGGAGTTTCGAGAACAGGGTGCAGTAGTCATTTGCCTTTAAGGGACAGATGTTCAGGTCTGAAGGCTATTGGACTTTGGATGGCAACAATGTGCATAGTAGGACCCCATGAGGCCTTGCTCTACAGCTGTCCTTCCTGAGGATGGCAGTGTGACTAGAGCCTTCTATATCTACCCACAACGGGGTGAGCCTAGAGGGGCCCTGGTCTCATGGCCTGGGCTCACTCCCCAGTTCTCCTTCACTGCTTTGTGGACTTAGGACAGTGACTTCACTTCTCTAGCCTTCACTGCCTCACCTGTTAAATGATATCTCTGAGGAATGAATATTGCTTATTTCATTTAAGAATGTTTTCTAGGTGTCTATTTTAAAAAATTCTGGGGCTGGAGAGATGGCTCAGCAGTTAAGAGCACTGACTGCTCTAGCAGAGGACCTGGGGTTCGATTCCTAGCACCCACATGGCGGCTAACGACCGTCTGTAACTCCAGTTCCAGGTGATCCAACACCCTCTTCTGACCTCTGAGGGCACTGTACCACATGGGTGCACTTGCATGCAGGTAATATACTCATACACATAAAATAAAAAAAAAAAAATTTTAAAAAATGCTGTTTGTCATCAGCTTCATCCTACTAACATGAAGGGCTATGCTATGACTGTTCCTACAACCTAGCCAGGAACCAACTTTTAAGCTCACCTTTGGGCACTGATGGTAAGAAGCCCAGTAGATTTGAGGCTTGGTAAGTTAGTAAGAGAGCTCAGACCCTTTGACCTTAACCCTTGTTTTTTCTTTTCTAGACAATGTCAAGGCAGGTCGTGAACTTGATACATAGCAAGTCTGACCTCTTGCTGCCACCTTCCAATTGCTGGAGTTACAGACATGTACAACCATGCCCACCAGACCTCCATTTTCTATGTATCACAGGTCACCTCCTTACCAGTCCCTCTGAAGAGCTTTCCTTCCATCTTTTGCTCATTCATCAATCCTTTGGTCCCTGATGACATCACCCACCTCCAGTGGTAGTCAGCGCTCCTAAAGTCCCAGTGCCAGTACTATACAGTTTCCCTTTGGAGAAGTTACAACCTAGGTACCACACTATTAGGGAAGTGGTCATTTCATCCATCTCCACTGTAAGCTCCCTGAGGGTAGGACCTACTCTGATCTGCTCACTAAGGGCTGTGGTTAGAATGCATTGCATTTTCAAATCAAAGGGGCTAATGGTATCAATGACCAAGGTTTGTTCATTTAGCACACTGGGGCCATGCTAGATGGATAGTCAGTGTTCCATGGTGACTCAAACAAGGTCCTTGCCTTCACCAACCTTCCACAGCCAAACTGTCGGTATCAGCAGCAATATGTATGTGCCTGTCTTTTCCTACCACGCATACTGATTTTTTTTTCATTTTTAAAAATTTAATAACCACATGATTAGAAGCAGCATTTCAATACAGCTTTAACATATTCAGTAACACATTCCAGAGCAAGGATACATCTCTTTCAAAGGTAACTGTAAATTTTTAGGTTGGTTTATGTTATTTTTACACATGCTAGCAAGACAGTTTTAACTTACATCCCTAGCTCAAAGCTGCAAGTTTTAGGACAAGAGCGCTAAATGCCTGCCAGGCAAGATGTGACTTGCACCACTGGTACAATAGTAACCTGAAGGTTATGGGGGTAACGATTTTCTGATTGGCTCTGAGGTTTGTTTTTATGCCTGGTATTATAAACATGGGCAAAAAGCCATGGCGTGTGTGGTCCTAAGTCCTAGGAGAGAACCTATTACTGTTGTTTTGCTAAATGGACATGCTGTCAACTGCCTTCTAAATGTTTATTTTTATACCCATAGAGTAGTGCTGCTGTCAGCCTTGGCTAGAGGAATCTTCTGCAGTGGACAGCAATACAGAGACTCATGGCTGGTCAAGTACTGAGAATAAGTGACTGTTGAGTGCACAGCCCTAAACAGGACATCCGTTATTAACCCCTGAAGGCTCAGGCAACACTGAGGAAGAGGGGGCAAAAAGAATGTGAAGAGCCAGAGGATGGGGAATGCAGTGAAAGGCTGTCTTCTGGACATGACATGGCCATTGCACTCAGGCACTCACTACAGCTATAGGTACCTGGACAAGACCTGCACAAGGTCAAGCCACCAAGGTCAATCAACATTCCAGCAGGCAGCAGTAACTGGACTCAGAGAGTCACAAAACAAAAACCAAACAAAGCAAAACAGAAAAGAGGACATCAAGGTGGGAGTGGGACCTGCTGGTAGGGTATCAGGAGGAGTGGGAAGGGAGAGCTGGGGGTGTATGATTAAGATACATCATAAGGGTTGGAGAAATGGCTCAGTGACTAAGAGCACTTGCAGCTGCTGCAGAGGACCTTGGTTCAGTTCCCAGCACCCACATAGTGGCTCACAAGCTATAACTCCAGATCAGGGGTCATGATGCCCTCTTCTGGCGTCCATAGGCACTGCATTCATACATGCAGACAAAATACTTATACACAAAAAAATAAAAATAAATAAATCTTTTATTTATTTATTAGTCTTATTGAGACAGGGTCTCCCTGTAGCCCCACTATGAAGATCAGGCTGGCCTTGAACTCAGAGATCCGCCTGCCTTTGCTGCCTGAGTGATGGGATCAAAGGTATGTGCCACCACTCCTGGCCCCTAAATAAATCTTTCAAGGATCAGCTACATAGCAAGTTCAAGGCCACCCTAGGCTACACCTTGTCTTAAAAAGGAGTGTGGGGACAGTGAGATGCCTCAGTGAGTAAAGGTGCTTGCCACTCAAACATGGCAACCTGAGTTTGAGCCCCAGAACCCATGGAAAGGTGGGAGAGAACTGACTTCTGAAAGCTGACCCCACATATACACAGGCACACATGTAGAAACACAACAATAAGAAAAAGTAACTAAAATAAGAATTCCAAGTGGCTGTAACGAATGGATTAGTTTGGGAATCACTGTGGTCTAGAGGGATGAAGCACTTGGTGGCTGCCCCCAACAACAAGGGAACCTAACTAGGTGAAAAGACTTCTGTAAACAAGTGTCTCAGAGCCCAGAACTGATGGTGACAATGAGTATTAAGTGTTTTGCACTGCTCAGACTTTATAACCATGTATTACAGATATATGAATCAGTTTACAGGCTTAAGTGAATTGCTGAGGGTCGTGCAGTTAGTCAGGAGGGGAAACAGGATACAAGCTCAGAAGACAGAGACCTTTGCCTTTAGGACCTGGGGACCACAGAACTGTTGCTACTGTAGTTCTTCACAGCATAGTGTGGGACAGACCACAGAAGTACAGAGTATACTTAAACTTTAGCTCTGTAATGACAGGCCCATCAACTGAATTTCTAGACTCAGTTTCCTCCATTGTAAATGCAGACCATGGCTGCTTGAAGGAGTCAATTAAGCAGAATGGCCGGGAAGCACTAGTCCTAGGCCTGGAAGAGCAGGTATTCCCCGCTAGTTCCCATGTTTATCACCTCTAGTACAGCCAGAAAACTAGTATCCATATTTTACTAGCTGTTCAAGTCCAGAAGAGAGGGAAAAGCTATGGGCACAGGTACACACATGCACACACACATGCATATGAGCATATGTGTGTGTGTGTGTGTGTGTGTGTGCGCGCGCACACACAGACAAATCAACTAGAGAATAACTTTCAGAAAAGTAGACTCAACACAAATGGACACATAATACCCATCTAATGGGCACACAAGTGCAGAACACCACAAACTGGTTAATAAACATTGTACCCAGCTGGGCATGGTGACTCACATCTATAATCCCAGCACTTGGGAGGCCAAGGCAGAAAAGACTGAAGTAGAAAGAATGCCAAAAATTTGAGGCCACCCTGGGCTACATAGTAAGACCTTGCTTTAAAATAAAAAAAAAAAAAAGTACTGGGGCTGGAGAGATGGCTCAGTGGTTAAGAACACTGACTGCTCTTGCAGAGGACCCGGGTTCAATTCCCAGCACCCACATGGTAGTTAATAACCACCTGTAGCTCCAGTTCCAAGGGATCTGATCTGAAACCTTCTGACCTCTGAGGGCATGGCATGACACAGGTGCACTTACACATGTGCAGACGTAATACACTCATACACATAAAATAAAAATAAAAATTTTAAAAAAAGTACTGATACTTAAATTTTTTTGCTTAAAGGAAATAAGGGTCTAGCTTAGTGGGTGTGAGGGTTCAATTCTTAGCATTAAGGATGATTTTGAACTTAGAAGAAAAATACCCCTCATACATAAATATAATTAAGAGTAACAACTATGATTATTACATGGGAAATGAGTCTGATGATCACAAGGACTGAAAAAGCACAGAAAACTGAAAACTATGATCAGGGCAGTGGAACTGATCACGTTCCTATTTAAAAAGTTAGGACTTTATGGGGTTGTGGATTTAGCTCAGTGGTAGAGCACTTGCCTAGCAAGCACAAGGCCCTGGGTTCAGTCCTCAGCTCTGGAAAAAAAAAAGCTAGGACTTCAAAAAAAAATTAGAACTTTCACTAAAACAAGTTTAATGAGAAAAGAAAAAAATTAGAACTTTCAGTCTAGGTGGTGTGCCTGTAATGCCAACACATGAGAGGCAGAAGCAGGAGGATGAGTTCCTGGACCACTTGGGTTACATAGCAACAGAGGAAAAAATTCCAAAGAACAGTACTACAACATTGAAAATGGTGAAAAGAAACAAAGTTAGAATGAATTGGGATACATGGAGGGATTGAGGAAGGGCAATGTCATCCATGTTTAGGCTGTTTTCTGGGTGGGTGCAGGCCACAGTGGGAGGGTCTACCTTCTGTGTTCACCACGATGATTCCCTGTACTCCTTTTTGGCTCTGAAGTCTCTTCAGTGTCTCCTCCACCTCTGCCTACCAGAAAAGGAGACTAAGATTAGGATGCCAAGTAGACTGGATGAATTTCCTCACACCCCAGGCAGATGAATGATACATTCATCTAACAAGCAACACCCAGGCATTTGGCACCACCCCAAACTCCGTGGGCCTGTGTGGAGTGGTCCTAGGTCACCACTTGCACCCAGCCCATCAACTCCCACCTCCAGCATGAGGAAAGGCTGCTACTGGCCCTTTGCCCACCATGCACTGATTATCTCCCCACCCACCAGCTATTTGAGAGCAGAATATAAACAACATTCACGGGTATACAGACACACCCATGACTCACACATGTGCTATAGGACTCTGATGACTTGAAAAAAACAAACAGTAGTTTCTAGCAGGAAAAGCTTTGTTATCAATGGCCCAAACATCACAAATGAAAACATTCCAAAGGGAGGAAAGTGACCTATGAGGATAAACTCAGTGACTTAATAAGCTGACACCCTAGCCAGGGTAACACATGGCATGCAGCCACAGGAAATGAGTCTTGGGAAGGGGCTCATTAATCCTGATTATCTAAGGCTACCCAGGGTAGGACACTGTAGCACATGAAACTTGTAATGAGAGGACAATGAGATGTTTGGGGTCTACCTCTTGTCATTCATGGCCTTCTAAACTGTCACTTCCACTGACTGTATCTTTCCTGTCCCAGTCTTTTTACCATACAAAGCTTTCTTCTCTGCTGAAATCCAATGGTCTTCTAGATCACCCAAGATATCACCTCTTCTAAGAAGCCTATATGGAGTCTTGCCTACTTCCCAAGCACTTGGCTGTGCCTCTCAGGGCATGTGTCAGGCACTATCTCTAATTACTTAGGCTCTAGAGTGGTCTGCAGAATAGGAGCTCCATAAACAGATGCCTAACTGACCTAGGCCTAACTCTCCTTACAGCTGGAAACTGGCCTTGAGGAGTGCTTGTTTTCAAGATGCCTCTTCCAAATATCCACAATCCAGTCAGAAGGTCCTCAAGGGTGGAGGGTCCTGGAAACAGGACTTTCATTCACCAAGAATGAAATGAATGGTTCCCTACTCCCTGGAGCAAAATGGTTGAGGGCTCCTACACAACTGGTGGCGACAGCACAATGAATTTGTTTTTCTGAAAGGCACAAGGTTAAGAGTCCAGTCACCACCACTCTACCCAGTGAAGAAAGAATATTCTCAACTGCTGAAGGGAGGGGCAAAAAGCTCCTCCTACAAAGTGGGAAATATCCTGACACATCTAAAATCTGGAGCCTTGGTAAAGGACAGGACTGGGTCTGTGCAGGAGAGCACAATTAGTGGGTCTTGTATGTCTAGAATCCCAGGTCATTCACAACTTTTACTGAGCTCTTATTGTGTGAGGTACTGTCCTGGAGGTGGGCAGGAGTAGGATAAATCTGGTCAGGACCCTCCTCCCCCATTCATATATGTTTCTTAATCTTTGTGTGTCTACCCACTGACCTATATTTTCAGCCCTTTCTTAATTTATTTATTCACTTATTTGAGACAGGGTCTTACTACATAGCCCTGACTGGCCTGGAACTCATCAAGATTCCCCTTGCCTTTTCCTCCGAGTGCTGGTATCAAATGCATGCACCAATAAATTTTAAAAATATATTTTATTTTTAATGTGTGCATGAGTGTATTGCCTGCATGTATGTGAGTGCACCCGTGTCACAAAAATGCCACGGAGGTCAGAAGAGAGCTCTGGATTCCCCTGGAACTGAAGTTAAGAACCGGTTTGTAGCCACCACGTGGGTGCTGGGAATCGAACCCAGGTCCTCTGCAAGAGCAGTCAGTGCTCTTAACCGCTGAGCCATTTCTCCAGCTCCAGTTCCAAATAAATTAAAAAAAAAATAATACTACAGGGCTGGGCGT